TATGGCAGTGGTCGGTTCCGGCTTCACCCTCATGGACACGCGCTGTGTGTGCATGCGTCGTACCTGCCTATGACGCCTCCGCAAGCCAGCTGCTTGGCGGAGCGTTGTGTAGGCGCTGTAGGCACCATGCGCGTGTGTGGAAGTGCCAAAGGCTTAAAGGACAGGTAAGGAGCTCGGGCGGTGCTCCAGGCAGGCTCCGGTATGCCCGTACCGGGCCATACCGTCTGCAACTCACCACTGGGTTATGGCAGTGGTTCCCAAATTTGGCAACTTTAAGACTTGTGGACTTCAACTCCCAGAATTCTCCAGCCAGCTCTGCTAAGTTGCCAAGTTTGGGAACCACTGGGTTAAGGGATCATTTAAAATGAAGATGATGATTAGAGTCAGTGTTAACTCCTGGTGAATGCTTGAACAAGTCCCTGCAATTTTCTGGGCAAAGCTTTTCAGGAGTGGTTTGCCATTGCAAACCAAGCTTCCTTCCTAGGGCCGAAAGACAATGATTGACCCAGGAGCACCTTATGATATGGTAGAACACAATTCATTTCTTAAAATTCGTACACTCCAAAATTTCAATAGAAACTGAGAAGGTAGCTTTATAATCTTCATCAAAGCTTCAGTAAGGCCACAACGCAGACGGGACCCCCCAATAAGGAGTCAGGCAATCTTTCTACATTGTAGACTCCCCTTTGAGCCACGGTGCCACGGTGGTTAGAGTGAGGTACTGCAGGCTACTTCTGCTACCTGCCTGCCGGCTGCCTGCAATTTGACAGTTCAAATCTCACCAGGCTCAAGGTTGACTCAGCCTTCCATCCTTCCCAGCTGGGTAAAATGAGGACTCAGAATATTGGGGGGGAAATAGTCTGACTCTGTAAACTGCTTAGAGGCCTGTAAAGCACTTATAAAGCGGTATATAAGTCTAAGTGCTATTGCTAGTTACCGTCATTTTCAAACTATAAGACTCACCGGAGTATAAGATGCACCATGATTTAGAAGAGGTAAATGAAAAAAAAAGGGTTTTGCACTCTGCAGGCATCCCAAACCTTCTGTATGCCTCATTTTTTGCCAAAAAAAGGGGGGGGGGCGCATGCATAGCCTTTAGGAGGCTTATAGTATTCCTGGTGGCTGGGGGGAGAGGGGGAATGAGCAAAAACGGCCAGTTTTTTGCTCATTTTTGTCCTTCCCAGCCCCAGGAGTTCTCTGAAAGCCTCCTAAAGGCTATGCATGGCCCTTTTTTCAGTTTCGTTAGGCCAAAAATGCTTATAAGACACACCCAGATTTTCACCCTCTTTTGGGAGGGAAAAAGGTGCGTCTTATACTCTGAGAAATACAGTACCTGCTCTTATCATTGGCCTTATCCACTAAAGCTCATTTTTGGGAAGATCAACTAAAAGTTTCTGATGAAGCCTACCTTAGCTAGGGGCTGTTAAAACATGTTTTAGTAAGCCAGCATTCCCTTTGTGTGTTTTGCAATGGGTTGATATCACCAGGATCTTTACCATTTGCAGGAAGAAAGAAATGCTTAGGTCCCCTTTTCTAACCCAACATTAAAAGGATGATTGTGACAAAAACTTACTGTAGAGTAATCACATTTACTCCTGGAACTGGACGCTCGATGTCTAGATCTCTTCGGCTGCAAAACAAACAGGAAGCAATGGTGAGGAGTTATCACATATGCAATTTTTAAAGCCCATTTCCCCCCCAAAAGGTGGGAAGAAGTGTTTCTCTCTGTCTCTCTCTCTGTCCCTCTCTCTGTCTCTCTGTCTCTCTCTCTCTCTCTTTCGGAGTATAAGATGCACCTGAGTATAAGACGCAGCAAGGTTTTGAAGAGGAAAATAAAAAAAGTTTTTGTACTCTGCAATCCTCCCAGAAACGGGCCCATCCCCCCCCAAAAAAGCATGAATATCCTTTAGGGAGCTTGCAGAGTGCTCCTGCGGGGGAGGGGGGCAAAAACGAGCAAAAAACACCCTGTTTTTTGCAAAAATGGGCCCTTTTTTGTAAAAAAAAAGGGGGGCATGGCTAGCCCTTAAGAAGTTTATGGAGTTCTCCTGGGGGCTAGGGGGATACAAATGAGCAAAAAATGGGCCATTTCTTGCTCATTTGAGCCTCCCCAGCCCCCAGGAGAACTCTGAAAGCTTCCTACAAGGTATGCACGGCCATTTTGGTGACGGGGGCGGGGTTTTGGGAGGAAAAAAAATGCTGTATTTGGTGTATAAGATGCACCCAGATATTCAGCCTCTTTTTTGAGGTAAAAAGGTGTGTCTTATACTCCGAAAAATACGGTACTCATCA